TGGGGAAAAACAGCAGGCCCTGCCGGAACACACTTTGGGAGCAGCCCATGGTGGACTGGGGGCTGCAGGCGCTGCCCCTCACCCCTCCACCAGTGAAGAGGAAGGCACCACTGGCATGCGAGAGTCTTGTGTGTGCCCCATGCCTCCCATGTGCGGCGTGGGTGTGCATGTATGAGAGTGCAGGTGCACACTTGTGTGTGTCCCACAACACATCCAGGCTCACATGCACACTCCCGTGTGTCTGCTCATTGGCCTGTGTATTACTCGATCCAACCCAGGTTTATCAAAGACCTGTTACTGACAGTCTGCTGCAGGCCGGACGCTGCAGAGCACTGGGGGACGGCAAACTCGGTGCTTCCTTTGCTCTTATGGACGGTTCAGTCCAACAGGGGAGGCGGATCTGAGTTGAGCATCTAAAGGTTACATGTAAACTGACAATGTGAGACGCTCCTGTGAGTTTCATGTGGTGAATGTTTACTTCTGAGGGGTGTCTGTGCCCCTGGGAGGGAACTCGCATCTGCTGGTGCTCCTGTGTGTGCCTGTGCACACCAATGCCGGCTCCCACGCACCTCATCTCTGCAAGAGGGCTGCGGAAAAGAAGGCTGGACGTGCACGACGCACTGAATCTGAGGATCTGGAAAGAGCGGGGAGCAATGTCTGAGGATGTCCTGGAGACTCTGTTGATGGACCCCAGGAGACAAAGCCATGCACAGGACTCTCAGGTCCCTGAAAGAGCCAATGAGTGGCCTGGTGGGACCACTCAGAATCTGGCCATCACCCTCACTCTGCTCCTACCAGTGGTATGACCTCAGGCTGTTGCCTTGGTTTTCTCGTTTGTAAAACCATGATCGTAGACTAAAGAGTCCCCCAAGTGCCATTGAACCTTGACATTCCATGAGTCTGGACATGACCCCTGCCCTTAGGGAGTATGTCTTACAAACAGGGGTCAAAGAGTTACCTGAGCACATCACACACACACACACACACACACACACACACACACACACACACACACGTGCACATGTGCGAGGGCATGAAAATGTAGAAGATTGAGTGAAGGAACTCCCAAATAACTAGTCAGAGGAGGCCTCTTGGAGGCATTAAAGATGATTGGAAAGATTGGTCTTGGCGAGGAGGGGAGAGGAGGTGGTGAAGTTGAAGAGAGCTGCTGGGGACATGGTAGGCTGCAGGTGAGTGTTGGCTCTTAACTGTGGAGGGCAGCGGGTCTTTGTCTGCACTTCCAGCATGCAAACCAGAGGTGTGTGAGTTGGCTCAGGCTGCCCTACAATGACCCTCCCAGGGGCTGGGCGGCTCAGCTCTCAGAATCGTGCAAGGAATTCCTGAGGCTGGAAGTCTGACATCAAGCTGTCAGCGGGATTTGTTCCTTCTGAGGTGTCCTCTCCTCTCAGCTTGCACGTGGCCAAGTGGCCGTCTTCTCCCTGTGTCCTCACGTGGCTATCCTTCTGTGTGTCTGTGTCCCTTCTGAGACGTCCTCTCCTCTCAGCTTGCACGTGGCCAAGTGGCCGTCTTCTCCCTGTGTCCTCACGTGGCCGTCCTTCTGTGTGTCTGTGTCTCTTCTGAGGCGTCCTGTCCTCTCAGCTTGCACATGGCCAAGTGGCCGTCTTCTCCCTGTGTCCTCACGTGGCCATCTTCTCCCTGTGCCCTCACGTGGCCGTCCTTCTGTGTTTCTGTGTCCCAGGCTACTCTTCTTATCAGGATGCCAATCATCCTGGATGGGGCCACTCTAGTGGCCTCCTGTTGTCTTCACGGCTTCTTTAAAGGCCCTGTCTTCAAATACAGCCACGTTTTGAGGCAGTAGTGGTCAAGACTTCACCGTATGAATTTTTGGGGGACACAACTCACACATAACAGGAGGGGTGGCAGAAACTTCTTCCAGTGAGATGAGACACAGGAAGAGCAGCTTATTGGCAAGTGTGGAGGAGCGTTGCCTCTTTCCACCTGTGGATGTGGAGTGCTGCCCAGAGAGTCAGGTGAGTGGGCCTTGCCCAGGACCTGGCCAAGGACCGGCCACTGAATCCCTGGTCTCTATAAAATGAGGCTGAATCTGCCAGTCTGGCCTACTACACACGGTGGTGGGGTGGAAGGAGCTAGTAACGTTCAGAGTGCTATGCAGACAGTCATCAGAATTTAATGTGAGCAATTCCTTGTTGCCGAATGCAGGCCGAGCTGTTCTAAGAGCTGTGCTCTTGTGCCAGGGTGGATTTGCAAGGCCTTATTCTCACAGGTTGCCTGAGCTGATGAAATGGGGCATGCAGCCCCAGGCCCAGGAAGAGACCCACGCTCTTTTCCCCTAATTATATCAATGGCAGAAGTAAAGCTCTGATATTCGAAGTGATTCAGAGTCCCCAAGCCGGTATCCAGGGCCGATGGCTTGTACATTCTTCTGGATTTTGTGTGTGGGGGCTGAAGTTGCATTTATTTTAGAGATGTTTGAGAGATGCATTTGTTTTCTAGTTGTTAGGTCTTTTGCTTTCCTAAGCAGATGGAAGGGGGACAGAAGCTCACACAGGGAGGGCCGTGCCGAGGGCAAGGCTGAGGAGCGGAAGGTACGGCGTCGCTGTGGGGGTGGGGGTTACTTTTGCTGTTGATGCTTTGCTGAAATTCTAGACGCAACTTTAATGGGGGAGAAATTTAGGGCAGGTTGAGAGGAGAGTTTTTGGCATCCTGGAAACGTGCCATCTAGAGGTTGCTGTTTCCACAATGACGTGTGACACACGTGCTCTTGAACAAGGCCCCTGACAGGAGCAAGGGCTCCTGGGGCTGCCAGGCATGCCCGGGTCTCCCTGGGCCTCCCTCATGGGTCCTGATCCCACATCCTCCCCGATTCCCCAAACTTATTTCCCAATGTGCCTTCCACACTCAAATGACCCCACCCCGCCTGCCCCACCAGGACGCTCCTCAAAGGAGGCAGCTTTAGGAAAAAAATGAAGCTGTTTTAAATATAAATGGCCAGGGCACAGTAGGCTTTTATTAAAATACAGAGAGATTAACAAGGTCTCATTCCCCTCAATTATTAACAATGTACTTGTTCTTCAGAAAAGTACCCATGAAAATTTAAAACAGATGAAAATGGTTGTTCATTTAAAACTGCTCAGTTAATCTGTGAGTAATGTTTTATTCAGTGCATTAAATGAACAGCGCGGCATTGGACACCTGCTGATCCGTCACCCCGGGCCCAGGCAGGCACATGGACGCAGAGAGATGGAGAAGGCAGGCACGGGACTTCGGAGGGCCACACCACCAGAAATCTGCACCGGAGTCCTGGTCCAGCCCCACACCTGTGGTGCATGCGGAGCTGCAGGCAGGGCTCCTGTTGCGGACGCAGGAACAGGCAGGGAAGTTGCTGCCTCACGGGGTGGAGGAGCCAGGGTGGGGAGGCCTGTCCAGCCCCTGTTACTGTTACCATTGGCGGGAACAGCCTCACTTGCCAGTGTGGCTTCGCCTCAGCTTCATTAACAGGGGAGGGGACTAAGAGTTTTCACATCCAGGCGTGGGCAGTGGGGAGGCAGACAGGAGTGGCCGCTGGCTTCTCAGATCTCCCAGAGAGGCTGAGGCAATGGCCCGCCCTGAAGCAGGCACGGTTCTGTCTTCAGATGGACACTGGAGGGTCACACTGCATGGGACTCTGGGCCCTGGCACTTCCAGGAGGAAATGCTGCCCAGGGCTGCACAGGTTGACTGTGCTTTTTGGAAACTTGATATTTTTTTTCTTCTCTTCACTCTGTCATGAAACTGGCCATAGTAGGCGGTAAATAAATACATGTTACAGGTGAATGTTTACTGTGAGTGAATTAATAAAGGAGTGAATAAATGAACAATTGATGCAGGGCCTGTCCTGTCTCAGGGACTCTCACAAAGTCCTCCACGCTGGGCAGAGCCCGCCTTCCTGCCAGGGTATCGGGATGGGACTCTCAGCCCCGCAGGACCAGGGCACTGATTCTGCTGAGGAAGCAGGGTCTCAGAAAACTGAGTGGCTGCTTCTGCAGACCCCACATCCTCCACTTCCTGGAGGAAGGAGAAGCTCTGGCTTAGTCCTGGGACTGAACCCTCGGGTGCCACAGAAATGGGCTTGGCTGTCTGTCAGTAAAGCGGCCAGAGAAACAGGCCTGGGGAGGAGGAGGCTGGGTGGGCGGTGTTTTCTACGCAGTGACCTGCTCCTTAGCCTGATGCCATGACTCTCCAAATACCCTGAAGATGGATCCCGGGGTGAGGATGGGTAGGCAGGTTTTGGGGGGATGCAGTGGGCTTGGAGGGATGCTGGCGCCTTGGCAGGCTGTGCCCCTGAGGAGCCAGTGTCTACAGCTCAGCTCTCGGGCTGCGCGCACAGGGACACGTTGCTGAGGGCATTTGGTGTGGGTAGGGCGGGGAAAAGGAGCCAGGGCTGCCTGTTTTAACGGCATCTGCAGGAATGCAATCACAAGAGAGGAGGAAGTAGAGAAGGAGAAGGGAGGCCTCCTTGGGAGGTGCGTTATCCTGAGGAAGGCTGAACAACGAGGGTCATGGAGAATCAACTCAGGACCATAGCCTTGCAGAGCGGGCAAAAGCAATAGGGCTTCTTGAGGCTGCTCGGGCGTGCATGCACTCAGCAATGCCTGCTGTGAGTGAGCCTACATATTGTTGGGGAAGAGGGACAATGACCCCCAATGAGAGACTCTAAGTCAACGACAAGATTAAACAAAGTGAAAACAAAGTAGGAAATCAAGAGTGGCTGCTGTGACAGCCTCGCACAGATGACATTAGTGCTGAGAACCGGACACGTGAGCCTCTGAGCCGCATTTGCACCCAGAGGCTGAGCAGGCGCACAGACCCTGCCGAGGGCCTGGCCTGGGCTTCTAGATGGCTCCAGGCCTAGAGGAGCAAGGTTGGGAAGTGGGCAGGCCAGCTCCTGCCAGGCAGGAGAAAGACTCAGACCTCATGCCTCCTGCGCCTGGGTGATTGTGAGCACGTAACACATGTGATCTTATTTATGTTTTGAAAAAGGCAACATGAACCAACACCAGCCTGTGAGGAACAGGCGACAGCCACTCGAACGCCGACGCATGGAGCAAGCCTGGAGCAGCGAGGACGGGCACTGTGAGGAGGGCGTGCAGCCAAGGCCGCAGTCGGACCTGGTCAGATCAGAGGAGGGAGGGCTGCCAGGCTGTGGGCGAGGATGAGACACTGGAAAAGAGCAGAGAAGAGGAGGCTGCCACGCTCTGTTTCCCAAAGTCTCCCCAGGAACAATGATGTCACTTACTGAAATGACAGACTCTCCATTTCATGTTTTCCCCCCAAGTGCAGAGTACAGGGAAGCAGATGGGCTAAGTTTTTAGAGTTAGGGTTATTAATGTTTACTTAGTAAAATTCACCCTTTTAAGTGTGCAGGCCTGAGGTTTGCCAAATATACGTAGGCATTTAATCACCACCATGATCACGATGTATATTTCCACCACCCCGACAAAGTTTTCTTGTGTCTCTTCATGGGCATTGCCCATTTCCCAGCCCTATCCCCTGGAAACTACTGTCTGCTTTGTGTCCCGGTGGTTTTATCTTTTCCAGAATATCACATGAATGGAATCAGATGTATGAAATCCTATAGTATTGGGTCTTCTGAGTCTAGCTTCTCTTATTTAGTGTAATGCATTTGAAATTAATCCATGTCTCAGGCATCAGGAGTTCATTCCTTTTTCTGCTGAGTAGTATTTCATTCTATGAATATACTGCAGTTTATCTATCCATTCACCTGGTGATGTACATTTGAGATTTTTGGCAATTATGAATAAAGCTGCTATGAACAATCACACCTGGATTTTATGTGGACACACGTCTTCGTTTCTATTGAGTAAATACAAGGCATGAGATTTCTGGGCCATAGGGTAAGTGGGTATGTCACTTTATATGAAACTGACAAGCTGTTTCCAAAGTGGTTGCTCCGTTTTGCATTCTCATCAGCAGTGTGTGAATGTTCTGGCTGTTCTGTGTCCTTTCCAGCACCTGGTGTACCCATTTAAAAGACTTCAGCCACTGTAAATAGGTGTGTAGGACTGGACTTAAATTTAAATTTGAGAGGCGTCAATATATGTGGGTGTGTCTTTCACACCTCCACCGTCACGGACCACATGCGCTCATAACAGGTGAATACGTACAGCAGCTGAGAAAGGTCTGAGCAGAAGGCCGTGGGCAGGGGGCCCAGCAAGACAGAAGGAAATCAAGGAGCATGTCCTATGGTCAAACCAAGAAAGGATTTTAAAAGGAGAGAGTGAGCTACTAACCAACTGCTGCTGAATGGCTGCAGATGATAAAGAGTGAAAATTGAGTCGTGGATTTAGAAAGATGGCCGTTTTTGCTGACCTTGACAAGAGCGGCTTCAGGGTTGCAGCAGTGATGAGACCTGCCTGAGAGGGAATTCAGGAGGGCAGGGACTTGGACAATAGGACTGCCTCCCCATCCGAGACAGGGCCGCGTAGTCTGCGGGCTGCATCTCCAATTTCCTCCTTTCTCCTCAGTAATAGAAATCTAAATTTATTTGGGATGGCAATGTGCCCAGATGAAAAGACTACATTTCCAGCTCTCTGGAACGACTCCACCTAGACACGCTGGTGATACTTGTTGAGTGGACTTCCATGAAAACTCCTTAAGAGGGGAGGAGGTGATAGTTGGCAATGATCAATTTGCCTTTCCCCGTCCTCCTTCCTGGAATCAGGAGGACGTACTGACTGCACGCAGCCTGTGGTGATTTGGGGACCTTCAGCTTGGATGACCTTGAGGATGCAAGCCAGCTTAAGGATGGCAGAGAAGGAAGGCAGGAGTTACTGAGATCCCTGATGGTTCTACTGAGCTGCAAAGCCAGCCTCCAGCATGCCCCTCCTTATGTGGTTAAGCCAATGCACTTAAGTCTATTAGCTGTTGGACAGACCCTCCTCACTGACACAGAGCGTAAACTTCAATATGAATGCATCAATTCTCTCATTAATCTATACATTTAATTTGATCTCCAAATCTATACAGAAATAGCATGTTTTGGAATTAGTCAAGTTGTTGCTAAAATTCACATAGAAAAATAAACAAGTAAGGATTGTCCAGGAAATTTCAGAACGGATGTGTATTAACAGGTGAGGAGGGCTATAGCTACATATTTTAAACAGTGTGATGCTGGTGCATGGGTAGCGAATCTGGTCAAGGGAACAGAATGTAGAGTCCAAAAACAGGACCAGGTACAGAGGGAATCTGAGATTGATGATTCTTTCTCAGACATTCTTAAACACATGGCAGAAAGATGGGTTATTCAGTGAACAGTGTTGGGACAGTAAAGCAGCCATCTGAGAAGACTACTGTTGAACCCATAACTGAGCTATTAATGGACATCTTCAACTGAGATATATTCCAAATGAATCAAAGATTTAAAGGTTGAAAAAAACCAAAGCCGTATTACTAGAAAACTTGAAACACAGGAGAGTTATTTATGTCTCAGGGTAGTAAAGACCTATGACAGTAAACAAAGAAACAGAGAAACCTCAGAAATCATAAAATAAAGGCTGATAAGTTTGACTACCTAAAACAAATTGTTCATGACAATATTCACCCATAAGCAAAACCAAATAATAAACAACACACTGGAAAACAAGTTTGGAACTCTGGTCACAGACTAAGGTCAATTTCTTTAATACATAAAGAGCTCCCCAAAAATAAGACTGAAAACTCAAAATAAAAATAGGCCAAGGATTCACAGAGACAATTCACTGTAAAGGAAATACAAATAGCTCTTAAATGTGAAGAGATGCTCATCTTTACTGAGATGAAGAGAAACACAAATGAAAACTCCCTGGAGATCCCCTTTCTCACCCAACAGATCCTTAAAGCTTGGGAGCTGGGTGACACTGCGTTGGCCATGGTTTGCACATGCAGGCCTCGTCGCGCTTCACTGATGAGAGTGTACACTGGCAGTACCCAGGAACTTTAGCAAGAACTGCCTGATGTTAGAGCATCACCCCCCAGCATGCTAACCACCTTTGCATGTTGTCCTGAGAAACAGGGGCTCCGTCTTTACTTCCCAGGTGATGACAGTGAGACTCAGAAAAGCTGGGGCCAGTTAACTGGTGCCAAACCAGGAATGAACTCAAGCCGTCATATCCAAAACCAAGCAGAAGGATGAGTGGAAGGATGAAGGGTTCCCTCAGTCTATCTTCCTCCTTTCTTCTCTCTCTTTGTTCTACCTTCTCTCCTCCACAAATAAATACAGAGAACGTGATTGACTTGTGCACAGAGAAGTATAATTAACTCCTACCCAGGCTTCTAGCTGGTTTCCTGCAGATCTGAAAAGCTGAGGGTCCAGGCCAGTGTAGACTGTGGACCCCTAAGTGGGACTGTAAGAGAATCTGGGCTGTGTGGACTGCTCTTTCCTTGAGTGTTGCTGAGAACAAGGCTGCCTTCCCACCATTCTAAGAGCAGCAGACTCTTCTCTGGATGCCGTTGGAGACCCTGGAGCCCAAGACGCCCTCCACAAGCCATTACAGCAGAAGCTCGAGGTGAAGACCAGGTCCTGTTTTGAATTTGTTGCCTCTGAGATGTGATGTGACCATCCTGTCCCATTTTATTTCCAAATCCTAATGCAGTTTTGCCAAGAAGCACCCAACGTTCCCCCAAAATCTTCTTCCAACCCAATCAGACAATACCCACTCCAGCCAAAAACCAAACCAAACTAAACCAACTAGCAAACCAACCACACACACACACACCTGCACACACACATACACACACCTGCACACACACATACACACACATGCATGTGCACATGCAGAAACAAATGCCCGTCTTGTCTCTGGTCCAGTTCAGGGTGGGTGGTTTTCCCCAGCTCTGCAGGTGATGTTCTTGTCTGTATGAGCAAGAGCCATGTGGGGCCGCAGAGGAGCTGCCCTTCTCTTCTGGAGAGAGGACCCCCTGAGGGGATGCACTGCTCCAGGGCAGGACAGTGAGGGCTGGATGGGGGGCGCATCGCTCCAGCACCCTGCCCTGAACAGGAGCCAAGGACTGTTGGCAAGAAGAGCCAAGGGCATTTTTATTCCTGCTTTCAGTGCCACATGGTGCCTCCCCACCGTTCTAAGAGCAGCAGACTCTTCTCTGGACGCCTTTGGAGGCCCTGGAGCCCAAGATGCCATCCACGAGCCAGTCTAGCAGAAGCTCAAGGTGAAGACCAGGTCCTGTTTTGATTTTGCTGCCACTGAGCTGAGACCTTGGTATTCTATGGGGGGAAGTTTCTCTGGCAAAGAAGAGTGAGGCCCAGTCAGCTGTTCTGGGAGAAAAGAGTAGAGCTTGACCACCAGGGAGCCAAGAGGCCATCAGCAGTGGGTCCCATCAGCATTGGGTCCCATCAGCATTGGATCCCAGAGGGTGAAGGGATGGGGAAAGGGGCATGGGGTTTGCAACCTGCCAGGTCCCCTGCAAAGCCCAGAAATGCTGCCTGTGCCCCTCCAGGCGTGAAGGGGTGGGCCAGGGAAGGTCTGTGGGTGAGGGTGGGAGAACACGCTGGGAGGTGCCTATGCCGCGTTGGTGCGGGAAGTCTGTGGGAAGCGACTGTGTGTGGGGCAGGGTGGAGGCCCAAGAGGCAGCTGCCATTCACCCATCTCCTTGCTGGTGCTCAGTCCTGTAGGGTAGCTTCCTTTAGCTTTCCTCTTCTCAGAAATATTCAGTGTGGTCATGAGCTCACACTTTCCATAATGTGGATTTGGGGCTTCACCTGCTCAGCCAGCCGGGGGGCCAGCTTCTAAGGGATTAGGCTCATACCCCTCAGCTCTGAAAAACGTTCCTAGGAAAATACCTCACTTTATTTGCTTACGCAGCAGTCCATCAACAAATTTGTGTGTGTGTATGTGTGTGTGTGTGTGGACGCACACATGTGAGGGTGTGTGCAGCCGGGGTGGGTGTGAAGGAGTGGGTAAAAGATGGATTTTGCTCTTGAGAAACTCGCAGTCTAATTTGAGAGGTCAGACACTTGCGCAGATAATTGTCCAATGCAGAAAACTAAGTCCTAGCGGTCAGGGAACTGCTCCTGGGCTGCAGGGGCAGAGGAGGCCATCAGCATCATTTCTTTCCTTCCCACAGGGGAGGCCACAGAGCTTTACCTCTCTCCGGGCCAGGAACTGCACTTGGCCACGGGTGATCCCTGAATCCCTATCATGAAAGCCACAGTGCGGCAGGCAGATCTTACCCGGGGGCTCTCCAAGCCACAGCCAGGCTCAGCTGCTTGTGCCAGTGCCCTCAGCCAGCCACGCCCCAGGCCTGCCTTTCTTGCCCTTCTCGTTGGTGCCCCTCCAGCTCCCAGTTCAGACTCTGTGCTCTTGGCTGATTCTGGAGCTGCCTCCTGCCCACTGCCCCTTGCCCCCAACCCCAGCACTGCCGCCTTTTTGCGAGGTGGTTTGCATCTTGCAGGGTGCCAAGGGGCTCCCTAGCCCCTGCCGTCGGCCCCTCCTAGCTGTCTCCTGTGAGCTGCCACCTCTCCCAGCCACGTTGTGCACTTCTTGAGGCCAGGCTCTGCCTACCCCTCTCCGTGGCCTCTGCAATTCTCTAGGTAGATGCTTCCCAACTCACTGATGGGCCGGGAGTGAGGTGTGAGGCCGCCTGGCTTAGCCCAGGACTGCAGTCTGAGAAGCTGGGTCTGCGCAGAAGGGCCTCCTGGCCGTCAGAGCAGCCCGCCACTGTGGCAGGCGTCCCTCCACATCCTAGCTCCCAGGCCGGCAGTCCCTGGCTCTGCCTGAGCACTTGAGTGGCAGATTTCTCACCATTTCCTGGGGAAGCAGATTCCAAT